TGCAGGTTCAGAGGTGTTCTCCAAACAACTATCAGAAATCTACAGCCAACTCATTGCTTTCTTCCGTACTGAAAAGATAAGCTAAAAAGGCCTCAACCTTAAATTCCAAGCTGGATTTTCTCATCTGTTTTGATTCAGTATTTTACACCCCCCTTAATCAATACTAAGAAATCTGACCTCTAATGTGCTTGCAAGTTTGAATGACAAATTGCTTACAGGCAATCTAGAAACATATCTTGAGCTATGAGACACAGAAACATTGCTTCACTCCCACCCCAAATAATTGGAAACCAGGACGTATTCACTTCAAGTTCCCTCAAAGCAGCAGGGAGAAACTCCGACTAGCAAAGAAAGGAAACAGTCTTTCTTCTGACAATATTTTAGAGGAGGAGGATTTTATTTTTCTCAAATTTGCTACTAACCCCTTCTCCTCATACTTAAGTATGGATTTATATATTTATGTTGTCTGTATAACAAAACCCAACAAAACACCAACTTTCAATTTTCTTAACCCACTCAATGAGAGTTAAAATAAAGAACATACCCACCCCAGATATTACTGTCGTTCAATGTTGCAAGTGTGCTGTAAAAGTGACTGCTTTCTTTACCACGTTCAATCTCATCATGTGAATACAAGCTATTCTGTTCTAAATTCCTCAGTACATTCATACCCCCTCAAAATAGTAATGACTGTAGCGCATTTTGCAAGCTGAATTTTGGGAAAGATTATTTTGGGAAATGTTCTTTCAGACAGCTGCTCCAAATAGCAGGTAAAGCACGGGAGCCAGATGGGACCCAGAAAGAGAAAGAAGTGCCGCTTCACATCTTGCAATGAAGCTGAAGGCTGCACCCTGATGAACATTTGCTGCATCATCCTCATCGTCAGGCCTTGTTTATTTACGTTTTCAGCACCCAAGCTGCCTGTTAGCAAGTGCAAACCTACTTGAAAAAGAAAAACACAAGAGATGTTCAGCTTCTCTGTGGATTTGAAATGGAGAAGTGACTGCATTATTTTTTTTCTGGTAACGACAGAGTTTACTAATGAAACATCAAAATGTTTGATTGTAATACAGTGATACATAAATACCTATTACAGTCTAATTAAGCAGATACATTCAATTCTCAGATCTAGAGGGCAGATTTTGACCTGCCTTCCAGTGCTACATACACTTCTGTTTGTACATACAACAGGGATATGAGTTGATTAAGAAAATCTGGACTTTAACAGGACAGCTACTGCATGTACGCCTATAGTAAGTTACACATATCCTGATTTATTCCTTCGTAGGATAGCTCAATTTCAGGTGTACTGTGTCATCTAGATTGCTGCAGAAGTCCCTCAGTGCTGGAAGCTGTTAATCTGCATTTTGCAAGCCTGCCTTTGTCTCCAGGCTGACATCTTATTGCATTTTCATTACTTGTTAAAAATAGCTGGTAATATTGTCAAATTAGTGGGATTAACCTACTTTAAAAAGGAAATTAGGTCAGTTACCATAGCCATGCCCAGCCTCCAACTCTCATGCATTGTTACAGCTCTTTTACATCCTACAAAACAGGCTGTTTCCTGTGGAAAATACAGATCTGCGTGCAGCAGCCTGCTTCATCCCACACTTGAACACAACACTGACACAACACTGAAACAACACGGTGGGGTGAAGGCCCCATCACTTGTTGTCAGTCACTGCCAATACAAACCTCTTGGACAGAAAAGAAACATCACTTTAGATCGTCAGGAGATGTTCTATTAGCAGGTTGTTTGCGGTGGTGAGTGTAAATCGGGTGTTAAATATTTCTGATATTTGAAACACACCTAAAAATCAGACTCTAAAACAGTTTTTGAGGCTATCTCCACCAAAGGACCTAGGAACCTTCCAAACCTACCTCACCTGACACACAGACTTAGCTGAAAACCAAAGACAGAGGAATGCACTTGGCCAACCACCAAGCTACTGATCCTCTGGTCAGAGGTGAGAGAGAGGGAAGGGGTTGCAGTGCTCTACTGCAGAAATAGGTCAGAGAATCACAGAATGGTTTGGGTTGGAAGGGACCTTTAAAGCTCATTCAGTCCAACCCTTGCAGTGAGCAGGGACATCTTCAAATGGATCAGGTTGCTCAGATCTTTGTCCAACCTGACCTTGAATGTCTCCAGGGATGGGGCAAATCTCTACCAAATCCCTGGGCAACCTGTGCCAGTGTTTCACCACCCCCAGTGTAAAAAAATTTATTCCTTGTATCAAGTCTAAATCTACCATCTTTTAGCTTAAAACTATTACTCCTTGTCCTGTCACAACAGACTTTGCTAAAAAGATTGTCCTCATCTTTGTTATAGGCCCCTTTGAGTACTGAAAAGCCACAATAAGGTCTCCCCGCAGCCTTCCCTTCTCCAGACTCAAACATCCCAACTCCCTTGGCCTGTCCCCACAGCAGAGCTGCTCCAGCACCTGATCATCTTTGTGGCCTCCTCTGGACCCGCTCCAGCAGCTCCATGTCCTTCTTGTGCTGAGGACCCCAGAGTTGGACACAGCATTGCCGGGGGATCTCACCACAGCAGAGCACAGGGACAGAATCCCCTCCCTTGCCCTGCTGGCCACGCTGCTGGGGATGCAGCCCAGGACACGGTTGGTTTCTGGACTGAGAGCACACATTTGCTCATGTCCATCTTTTCATCCACCAGTACCACCAAGTCCTTCTCGGCAGGGCTGCTCCAAACCATATCATCCCCCAATGTGTATTGACACCAGGGGTTGCCATGACCCAGGTGTAGGTCCCTGCACTTGGTCTTGTTGAACATTGAGAGGTTCACACAGGCCCACCTCTTCAGCTTGTTCAGGTCCCTCTGGATGACATCCCATGCCTCAGGCGTGTCATCTGCACCACTCAGCTTGCTGTCATCTGCAAACATGCTGAGGGTGCACTCGATCCTGCTGTCTGTCACTGACAGGTCCTGACTGCTACTGTGGCATCCAAAACACTGGGCACACTGGGGGAAAGCAGCAATTCTTCATGTTCTGTGCAACAGCCACTGGCACAGGCGAGGTGCAAGACACACAGCTCAGCTGCTTATCTGCCATGCAAGTGGTCACAAGACAAAAGGCTCAGTGGACCACATCTCCACTCACCCCATCCTCAGCTTTTTGGCTCCTCCTTTGGTCTCAGCCCTTTATTTTTTTGCACTATAGTTACCAAGTAAAGTGTAAGTTGAGAAATAGCAATCATTTTAATAGGCGGGGGAGTCCGTTGTGCATCCCCAAACAGATCTGGCTCCTGCCTCTGCTCACCCCCAGCTCCCCACGAGAGCTCCAGGACAGAGCTCAAGTCTGCTGCTTTCAGAAAAACTTACATTCTGCCTTCAATTTCCCCATGCCAAGGAATCCTCATTATTATCTTCCCACTAAAGGGACAAGATTAACCTTTAGATAATACACCAAGAGAGAGGCAGCGAGAGAATTACCCCTTTGGCATTTCTTTGACAATTCTTCCTCTCCAAACCAGTTCACGGTCATGCCAAGGCAGGAAAGTCAAGATGTAGAGAAAACTCACTGCAGTTCCATGTAACTTAGCTAGCTATCTGCACCTAGGAAAGATAACTGGCAGTTTACAGTATGCTTTTTCTCCTTCCTCTCCGCTTCAAGCTGATCTACAACTAACAAAGAGACTGCAATTTCTGCTGCTTAATTACACTCCAGAAAAGGAGAGAGAGAGAGGAAAGGAAGGAGGACAAATCCTGCCTGTACAGGGCATTCCTTTCTCCAGCACAACGAGCTACCACAATTCAACTTTTAGCGTTCCTTAGTGTCCATTTCTCTTTCCATGCTTACCACCCCCACGCACAGATACTGCTGAGAAAGGCTGAATCACCAGGAAACCTGAGATTACTCAAGGATTACTCAAGGAGCACTGCAGAATCACCCCCACAAGAGACCATACAGAAAAGCCTCAGGAATCCTCATCTGCACCCTCGTGATCCCTTACTATAAGACTTTTTAGCAGATGATAGAAAGAAAACCTTTTGTGCTTCAGGTTTTATTTTGGTTCTGGTTTTTGGGTTTTTTTTGGTGGTTTTCTTTGGTTTTTTTTTTTAAGTGTCCAGAGAAGGAAGCAGCACAGAGCACACAACAAATCTTCCATCCCCTTGGCTTAGCTTAAAAGCAAGTGTCTAGGTTACACTAAACAGCCTCCTTCACAGTCTCTTCTCCAGCTGCTTTAAGCAGCGCATGGGATATGCAGGAAAATGAACACTGCCAGGGCTGTCCCTGTGAATCCCACCAAGATGGGACTGACAACTTCTAGATAAAGCTACTTCTTTTCCTGTTTTCCAGGCTCATCTCTGCACGGGAGCCAAGTGAACGTTCCTCAGCTGTGAGACAGATCTGGATTTTGTGACATGATCTCAACAGTCCCCAGAAGAAATGCTGTTCCTTCCCGAGCTCCTTCTCGAAGATGAAATCAATGAGAGTAGCAGTAAGCAACATGCAGATCAAACCAGGATTTATCACCTCCACAGCACATGGCGTGTCAGCAGGTATTTTCTGTCTGTTAACACCACAAAGCACAACTAAAGCAGAAACAAGTTCCAAAGACATACACAACCCAAATCAGCTCACAACGGTGAACGAAGTGACAGATGCCAACTGCAGGATGGACAACCTAAGAATAACAAGAGGTTTGCAACATCTTTACTTTTTTCTGGAACATTACAGGTCAAGCAGAGTCACATCGCTCTTGCGTAATAAACACTCATTTTGTACTGTTAAATTACTTCATGTCCTTAATGCCTTCGAGAACCAGGGATAATCACCTGAATTAATACATACCACCACAACTTCTTGTAGCAACACACTAAACCCCTGGCGTTTTCCTCATCTATCACAACTTACTGCAGACAAACACTGTAAGCAGCAACCTCGGACAAAGGCAGCCCACCCCACCACTCCACATGGGCAGGACCTTCCCCCACGCAAGCAAGGATCGGCGTTTTGCCGAGTTCAAATGTTCTTTACCTTGTAGCAAACATCGCTCTCAGGGAAGAGAAGGTAGCAGCATCTTCTTTCAATGCCTTCAGCTCATTTCGCAGCTTCATCATTGTCTCCGTAACCATCGCTTTCTCATTTTCATACTTGCTTTTTAAGTTGGCAAGGGCTACCTCTGCAGTCTATTGGTTACCAAGAAGAACAGAAACGCACCAGTTAACAAACCTCTTCACAAAGCGGCTGGCTAAGAGGTTTCTAAGCACTGTTCACATAATGAAACATTTATTTTGTACTGGAATGTTAAACTTCTGGTCAACATTTCTTGCACACATTAAACAGCATTCCATTTTTGAACACTGGAAACAGATCAGACACGTGTGTCTCCTACTCCCATTACCCACGCAGCAGCACCTAGGAAATCACAGAATATATATTAAGTGACACCTATCTCCAACTACTAAAAGAAATTCAACTTTACATACCTTCAACACAAAGAATAAATATGTCTGTTTAGTATCTCCATATTTAAACACATTCATCAATCACTTGCACAGTTCTCTAACCCTTGCAGCATTTTGTCTATCTTACATTTTGGGACCTCTTTATTAAAAGGTGCAAAAAACCCCTGAGAGCATGTATATATTTCCTAAACAACGCTATAGTTGTTTATTTTTTTTTGAAGGCAACTTCAACTTGCATTACTTTAATTTTAGAGATTACAATGAAGCATATCATTTGGTGTCTTAATGGCAGTTACTTTCATCCGCTGCACTGCAAACGTGTATCGGATGGCACAGCCCAACCCCCAAAGACTAATTTTACCTTTCACCCCTATTATTTTGACCACATTCTTATATCGCACCCTCATCTTGGAAGGTTTTTATTTTATTTTGCAAATTGAGAAGGAAGAGCACATAAGTTTAAGAACTCATTTAAGGGCAATCACCAGAATTCTTTCAAGTAGAAAGCAAGATTTACCTTTTCATTTTAGGTATATTAAATATAATCTTATTTAATGTAAGACAATTCAGACAGGCAGTAGATTGATGCTACCTTAAGCTTAATAAAAAGTCTCATGAGTATGGGACAAGCAAAAGTCAGTTAAAGCCCCAGTGCTCTACTTTACAGTAGGGCAGTTGTGTGCCTCCAATGAAACAACATCCTTCAGCCTGCCACCAAACAAATGCCAGCAACAAAAGCCCTGAGTTGAGGGTACAGCAGTATGACCTCAAAGGCAAAGTGTATTGTATTTATGACCTAATTTCCTGACACTAAAACCTTTGTATCTGAAAGACCCGCTTACCTGTTTGTTGGCCTTCAGCACAGTTCTCAGAGTTGCTATCTGTTCTCTCTTGGTGCTCAGCAGCGACTTCAACTTCAGGATTTCTTCCATGAGACCTTCCTTGTCTTTGTCCACCACTGGCCCAAATTCTTGAGTGGCAACACGCTGCCTGGACAACTCAGTTGTTCTGTCCACGGCAGCCTGCAGGTGTTTGATCTGATCCCGGATGATAGCGATCAAGTTGTAAATGTTCATTGGCTCCTTACGAGGATCTGACACAGGAGACGGCAGAGATGACACTGGAGATGGGCTGCTGTCACCACTTCCGTTCTCTGCCTTTCCTAGCTCTATAGTTAACAGCCCTTTAGAAAGAAGAATGGGAGATCTTCTTCCCTTGCTCTCTGGACTACTGCGTCCGCCTTTACCTTCCTTGTAGTAATCCAGCATCACTCTGTTTGGAGTTTCGTTGTTGCACATGCAGACATGGTGGTACAAGTTGGCAAGCTCTTCACTGAAGGTGACCAGTTCATCTTGGGCCACGCTGAGGCTGCCCTGTGTTTCTCCAGCAACATCACTGACCTTCTTCAGCTCCTTCTCCAGTCTGGCCACCTGCTCTCTATCATGCCTACTGGATTTTTCTAGCGAGGTGATCTTTTCCGTGAGAGCTTGGCTCTCAGTCTCATACCTGCTCTTCTCTTCCTCATACTTAGACTCACACTCTTTGTATTTGTCCTTGAGGTTTTTAAGCTCTTCTTTTAGGTCAGTAATCTCTGCCACAGCCACTTTGTACTTGCACTCCAGGATCTCTGGCCCGTTGATGTCAACTTCGTAATAGTCTCCATCTTCATGGCTGTCTCGGTCCTTCTCGTTGTCAAGGGCAGACTGACGTTCCTTGCTGACGTGGAGCTTCTTCATCGCATTCAGGTTTTCTGTGAGTCTGCCAACTTTCTCATGCTGCTCCGAGAGGGCCCCCCGTGTATTTTCCAGCTGCTTCTGGGATTCTTGTAGCGTTGTTAACAAGTTCACCTTTTCTCTTTCCATCTGAAATGCATGAACACAGGCATCTACATAAAGGAAACTGTATCACTCAAATGGTTTTCTTATAACAGACAGCAACTTAGCCAAAGTCCATACCTTACAAAAATCTGATCACTTGGACATTATGGAAAGGTTATTTAATCTATTCCAAAACTACATCAAGCACAGCTTTCCCTGCCAATTTTTTCCTCATTTCCACTCAAAAATGCACATTTTTACACACTTCTTCCATAACTGACTGATTGTGAAAACATCCTTTCAGCTGAAGACAAGATACAGTTTAATGTTCTCTTGCAAATTATCAAGTAAATATTAGAAAACACCCAGCTAGTCTATGATGGAAGCTTGGGGCTTCCTGAAAGACTCAGGAACACTGAAATGTTTTAAAGTTTCACCTCTGAAAGGTCTCCTTTTGAAAAAATCCAGCATATTTTTCTACAAAGGCACTTTCTTATAGAACACAAAAATGCTTGACAAAATAACTTTAAAACATTTCAGTGTTTTATATGTATAAACATAGATATAAATATGTACCTTGTTTCAAACTCTCCAACCTCCCAATAACATAAATATAATACAGGAATGCTTGGTAGTGATTAAAATTTCATGTTCTCCAAATGGTAATGGTGTACAAAACTCCTTCTCATGAAGACGACTGGACTAACCATCAATTTTTGAGCAAACTTTCTCACTAGTGATGTAATGAAGTAGACGCAGCATGTAAAGATGCATTACAACTTTCCTCCAAACACAGGACACGACTGCTAGCGTCTTTGCATCAAAAAAGGGAAAGATGGAAAAAAAGCCATGGTTTTCTGCTGACAAACATTTAACATCTTCAGATTCTAAATCAATCAGAGCCTCTACAAATACAGTTCACATCATGTGATGGCCGCGTGAGATAGTGAAAAGACTGACACTACACCCCAAATGAACTCCAGCAGCTGTTTGAAAGTACACGGTTGTTTAGGAAACCCATTTACCTGTACAAGCTGTTGTTTCAGCTTCTGGATTTCAGAAATGTTTAATTCGCTCAGAAGATCTGAAACCAGACTTGGGGCTGGAGGGAAGCTCTCATTTTTCTTGGGCGTTGACGTACTGTTCTTGCCGTTGCTGATTTTGCTGAGGCAGCTCTGTTCAAACCCATTCATCATTTCATCGTTATTGGGCTCTGTGGCTTCGTCGCTGAACTTCAGCCCATCCAAGGAGATGTTCAGGTGGCTGTTGTACATGGAGTCATTGATGTTCATGTAGTGGGAGAGCTCCTTACGGAGGTTGTTCTTCTGCTCCCGCTCTGTCTTCAGCGTCTCTAAGGCCTCCTCGAGCTGGCGTTCGGAGATCTCCTTCAGCCGTATGGCATCTTCGAGCTGGCTGTTGAGAAACTCTGTTTCCTCTTCGAGCCTTTTAATTTCATGTTTCAGGCCTTCAAACTCCACCTGGAGATATAAAAAAAAAAAATGGAAGGGGGGAAAATTCTAATGAAAATGCCTGCCTGCAAGGCGTCAACTAGTTTTACTTTTGAATGTTTGATTTCACTAAATATGGTGAGAACAGAGTATTTTTTCAGTTCTGGAGTCTAGTTTTAGCACTATGACTATAAACACTGCTTACATAATTTACCTTCACACAGGCCATGGAATGAGATTTATAAGCAAATGGTTGACTTCCAGTTTAATTAAGACAGGTGGGAGACCCAGCATGTGATACAGAGGCATCACAGAACAGGCTTTCCTAGCACGTTATACAAACTTTTTCTCTGTTGGTTTAACAAATTCCCTGGCCAACCCTCCCACAGATTCAAGCTCAGCATTTCCAAAAGCCAGCATCATAAATCTGTGCTTCTGACACCCCACTGCACTGCTGTTCAAATGTGCCACTGGGCTTCAAGCTGTTGGGATGCACCTAGCAATCAGGCTCTGCTTTTATACATTCAAAATAAGATGTTTTATCCTTTCCGTCATCACCATTTCAGTACATCTTGAGAGGGTTACAATTCAGACTCTACACTTCATACTCACAGTGCACCTACATGAAATATGATGGCATGCTATAAAGGTTTTTACCTGTAAAACTGCATTTTTTTAAACCTCTCTTGCACTGAAATTATGCACACCAACCATTACTGTATAATTTTGAATCCCTTGGGCAGGAGGGGGGGAAGAATACTTTTTTCTTACCTCGATAGAAAGGGAAACATCTCACAAAATCAGAAACGTAGAGCGAGTTGGAAGGGACCTTAAAGCTCCCCCAGTCCAACCCCTGCCATGGGCAGGGACACCTCCACCAGCCCAGGCTGCTCAAACCCCATCCAACCTGGCCTTGACCCTACTTATTTCTGTCAACTGCTAAAGGAATTTTAGATGCCAACATACAGCAATCTGGCAGTGCTGAAGCACACCTGATGTACAAAACAGGAACAAATCACATCAACTCAGTTTTGCAAGCTAAGCCTGGGAAAACTTGATGGCTTCTTCCAGTTATGTCAGCAGGATTTAATTAAGCTTAATAAAATCTATCGTGTAGGATTAGGATAAGGTAGAAAATGAAATAATTTCTTGCTATGAAAAGGATTAGCTCTTGGTTCTATATATGTCCACTGATCTCAAATATTTAAGATTGCAGTCTATTTTCAAAGGTTCCAAATTACAACCACAGCAGTCAATAATTATCAGCAACTGGCAAGATACTGTCTAAGGTTATGTGTGGGTCAGTCCCGAATTATGGCATTCTTGAATATCATTATTTTAGAATGTGAACATGGAGTTGGGAACTTTCACTTGCTCCTCTGAATACAATTAATTAGACAAAAGAAAGGTAAAAAAACCCAAAAGTAACCGACTACATAGGTTGGGTTTTACCAGATCACTCTCTCTTCCAGTCTGCAACTAGGGCATAACAGCCCCTTCATCCCAAAGCAGCATAATTAGACCAAATATATTCAGGTGAGAACGAGTCCAACCTGGAACCCCCTTTTGGGCACATCAGTGAGGCCAAAGTGATAAATATTGACACAGAGTTTTACCTGGAGACAAATGAAACACATTCAGTATCCCAAATCCCTTGCTTGGCAGGGCAGCTTTCTCTCAGCTATCTGAAGGAGCCCTGAAGCAAACCCTAATAGGCTTTTGCTGTGTGCTCTCTACAATAGATGGTATTGACACCACTGTTTCACAGAATCACAGAATCACAGACCGTT